AAAAAGACAGTATGTTGAAGAATGACAGTAATCACACTTACCAAGACAGCCACCAAGTACATTCGCTGAGACGTTGTGTGATTTACTTTATATAATCTTGTTTGGGAAAAAATTATCATCTCTATTTTACAGATGAGCTTTATAAAGGTTAAGAAATTTACCCAGAGTCAAACAGCTTTCAACCATATGTGATAGCCGCCTCCGTAGAAAGTTCCAATAAAACACTGTGGCTGAAAAAGCAAGGGGAGAAGAAAGGGAGGGAGGGAAGTAAGGAGGGACGAAGGAAACTCGGGGTTCATCAGAAGAAACCTGGATCATAGGAGCCATCCATTCATTCTTAGATTTGGTGTTGTATTCTGCACGTGACATTTTAAGATTAAAAATGTGCAAACCTAGTTGTGTGCAGAGAACATAGTCATGAAAGAGCTGGGAGAGAAGTCACTAGAGGTATTAGCCAGATCGCTGAGGCTTTGAGAGAGCTGGAAAGGGCACTTCTGTAGAAGAGAACTTCCATCGCTCTAGACGAGGAACGGATGTTCCAGGGAAGCAGTTCTCTTTTTTTGTTTGTTTCCCCCCCGCCCCCCAGAGTCTCACTCTGACACCTTGGGTAGAGTGTGGCATCACAGCTCACAGCTCACAGCAACCTCAAACTCCTGGGTTCAAGTGATCCTCTGGCCTCAGCCTCCTAAGTAGCTGGGACTGCAGGTGCTTGCCACAACCTCTGGCTAGTTTTTCTGTTTTTAGTGGGGATGGGGTCTTGCTCTTGGCTGGTCTCAAACTACCAAACTCAAGCAACTCACCCACCTGGGATTACAGGTGTGAGCCAAAGCACCTAGTCTGGGGAAGCAGTTCTGTTTCACTAGAAGGAAGATGACACAAATAGGTTTTCAGAAAATATAAGCGCCCAGTTGGTGCTTCATTCTGCTTCAGTGGAGTTGCTTCTGAATGACTGTGTTGTCAACGTGCTCCTAGCATCAAAGGCAAGAGAGGGCTAGGCAGAAATCTGTGATATTGTTGCTACTCTTTGGATGAGGACTAATACATGATAAAGGCAGGAGGCCGGCTGATAGGAAACAGCACTGGCATTGCAAAGCAGAAAGCAACCATCTTCTCAACCACGGAGAAAAGAAAAACTTGATGACCCCAATTTATTTAAGGGCACTGGGTGGGAAAGAGAAGACCCCTCTGGAGGTGTCATTTTCTCTCTGTTTCCTTAGGGGGAAATATATCTTACTGATCCAATTGGAGAAACCAAATGCTTACATTTATACTATGCCTATTTTCTTTATTTTAGAATCAAGATTTTTTTTTTTTGTAAGTAAAGGTGGAGAAGTTATGGAAAGAAACCTGATTCTAACTATAAAATTGAACAGATGGGATAGTGGGAATAAAAACAAATTAAAACAGTATTGCAAAAACTCTCAACTTTCATTTTAAAATATATATGATGATGTTTTTCAACTTTTCACATTCAACCTATCAGTATATCAAGTGACAAAATGAAAAATCAATTTCAGCTGTGTATATTTTAAACATTTACCTAACTGATTTGGACTTACCCAACCGAAAGTTCCAGATGAATGTATTAAACTGCTTATTGTATTTTTTCATGAAATAAACCCTTATATTTTATACTATGCTATAGACAGGACACAGTTATGTTTGGTGACATGTAGTATAGAAAATTAAACTGAACAGTGGTCTAATTAGAACAGTAAATAGTATGGGTTTAATTAGCCCCTATTCCCGATGACAGGTTTGATCTGTTGCCAGATATTTATCCTTTCCTTTCATTGGACTGTTACTGAAATATTGCCTGTAGCAGGACTGCTTACTGTGCTATAAATAGGTAGCTTGGCAAGACGCCATAAAACCCACTGGCGGGTGAGACCTGAGTGAAAAGTATGGAAAACCTCCTCTTTGCTTCCAGTCATTATTTCTTCCTTTCACTTTTAAAAATCCATTCCACAGATCCCTCTTTTAATTTAATTTTTCTTTTCTTTTCTTTTTTTTTTTTTTTTGGTTGGATGAGGTCACTTGCCTAGGGGCTTAAGGAAATCTGGGCAGTATCTAGTTGAGTTGCTCTGCAGTTTGTTAGTGGGTCACGGCTTCTTTCATAAACTCTGCTGTTCTCTGACTTAGAATCACCTATTAAATTCAGTCTGACTTGGACTCTTCTGAATGCCAGGAGGATGTGGTTTTTGTTTGTTTGCATGCTTGTTTTTAATTAAAGTACTCTGTGTTTTATTAAAAAAAAGACTCTACAAAATGCAGACTAACAAAAACAAAAATAAAAGACATTATAATCACCCAAATCCCTCTCACCTAAAGGTAACCCCCGTAACATGTTAATTAACCTCTCACTTCTCTTTATGCCAATTATAGTTTATCTGTGGTTAAAAAAAAAAAAAGCTTATATTGTTACCTTATAATTACCTTTTACCCCCCAAAAATATTTTTTCAAAAAAAATTTCAAAAGTCTGTTAAGTTCAGATAGCAATAAAAATGACATTTGACCATTTATCTTATTTGCTTCAGACCTTTTGTGAGGGTGGAGTGTGATATTTACCTTGCTTAAGTATCAGGTGACATTCCTTTTGTGTCTGTCCTCAACAATATTCACTCCTGGTCCCATCCCCTCTGTTTTAAGAAGCAATTTGGTTCATTTCCTTCCAGACCATATACTTATGCTTTTACTATTATTTTGCTACATATGTTCACATCCCTATATCTTTACCTATAGAGGAAGACATATATAAAATGCTACATGTGTTTTTATTTTGATACAATTAAACCCATTAGTCTTTTCCTTCATAATTTCTACCTTTGTTGATATATCTAGGACAGCCTTTCTTATACCGACTCTATGTGACTATTAATTGTTTTAGTATTTTATTATAAATACTCAATTTCCAATATGTTGAATTCGTTTTGGTATATTTTATGAATAAGTTATCTGTGATTTTTAAAAAAGTGTCACATTGATTTGTGGCCCTCATATTTGGGTCTGTTTCCGTTACCCTCTTTTTTAAATTTAATAGATTTTATTGCCTAATACTATGGCAATTCTCTATTCTTTTAATTGAGGCCTGTTCTCTCTCTATTTACTTCTTTTATATTTTTTTTAGTTGTGGCTAAAAAAAAAATAGCCCACATAACATGAACTCTACCCTCCCAACAAATTATTGAAGCACATGGTGCAGTACTGTTAAGTGTAAGCACAAAGTAATGTTGTACGGTAGACCTCTAGAACTTTTTATTCTGCATGGCTAAATCTTCACACCCATTGAACTTCCCATCTCTGCAGTCCCTGGTAACCACTATCCTACTCTCTGCTTTAGTGAGTTAGACTCTGTTAGCTACATGCAGTGAAAGCACACAGTGTTTGTCCTTCTGTGACCAGCTTGTTTCACGTAGTATAATGTCCTCAAGTTTCATCCATATTCTAACATATGACAAGCTTTCCCCTTTTTATGGTTCCATAATATTTCATTCTGTGTATATACCCATTTTTTTTACCTGCACTCCTATGTTCATTGCAGCATTATTCACAATAGCCCAGATATGAAATCAACCTGAATATCCATCACTGAATGAATGGATGAAGGAAATGTTATATCACATGTTTTTTATCCACTCATCCGATGGACACCTGGGTAGATTCCACCTTTTAGCTATTGTGAACAATGCTGCAATGAATGTGAGGGTATAAATGTCTCTTGAGATTCTGACTTCAATTCTTTTGGATAAATACCTGGAAGTAGGATCGCTAGATCATAAGGTAATTCTACCTCCTTTTACTGTTTTTTCTTGACTTTTATAGACATTTGTCCCAATAGATGAACTTTAAAGTCATTTGTTATCCTCCAAAAAATTTCCCTTTGGAGATTTTGATTGGAGTTGCTATAAATTTAGAGATAAATCCGGAAAGAATTAGCAATTTACAGTATTGAGTCTATCAATTCAGGGCTAAGTTGTTTCTCCATTTATTCACATCTCCTTTAGGCCCCTTACGAACATTTTGTAACTTTATTTAGTAATAAGCTTCAATTCTTTTCACATCTGTATCTATGTATCTTTACTTATGATTCCACCTGTTCTCTAGAGTACCCCAATTTAAGTCAATGACAGCTATCCCAGGAGAAAAAACACACTGTACTCATAAGTGACATTTCCCTATTTTTTAGATTCTAAAAGCTTTATAAGTCAGCCACACTTGTCCGTGTAATTTTGTTTTCTTGGAATGAAGCCATCTTAGGAAGTTTCACAATCCTCATGCAAGAAGGTTTTCTTGGAGGTTATCTGACAGATAGGCAAGCCAGAATTTCAGTGATGAGAACTTTTTAGGCTCAAACTGGGACTCTGCTCTGTAAGTCAGAAAACGGACTAATAGTAGTAGTAGTAGTAATACTAAATTATTTAGCCAATTTATTTAAATTTAGAAAGGATAAAATTTCAGATATAAAACTGAGCTTAGAAGCTATCTGGAAAAACAAAAAACAAAACGCCTTCTTTGTTTTTTTGAGGCAGAGTCTCACTCACTTGCTCAGACTAGAGTGCCATGACATCACAGCTCACAGCAACCTCAAGTTCCTGGGCTCCAGCCATCCTCCTGCTTCCGCCTCCCAAGTAGCTGGGACTACAGGCTCCCGCCACAACACCCTTATATATTTTTCTATTTTTAGATGAGAGGGGGTCTCGCTTTTGCTCAGGCTTGTCTCGAACTCCTGAGCTCAAGCAATCACCTGCCTTGGCTTCCCAGAGTAATAGTAATACAGGTGTGAGTGACTGAACAAAACATCCTAAGAGGGAAAGGCATGCATGTGCCAAGAGTTTCCAAATAAACCTGTCTTATGTGTTTTTGTTTTTTTAATGCAGCCATTCTAAAGCAAAGCGTTGCTAGGCAACTTTGGTTGAAGAGTTTGGAATAACTGGGAAGCCTTGGGATATTTCTACCACATTTGTCTATAATTTATTGCGCTTTTTTGCCCCACATCTAGACCTCAAGAAATGCTCGTTCAGAAGAAGAAAAAGATGGCAACTGGGACGCTTGGGGAGCCTGGAGCGACTGCTCTCGGACGTGCGGGGGCGGTGCGTCCTACTCCCTGCGCAGATGCCTGACTGGGAGGTCAGTGGGCTCGCCAGTCCCTGCGGGAGGGGAGCGGGGGAGGCCCCGTGGCTTTGGTTTTGGAACTTACTGTGATTGGTGGAGTGTGATATTTACCTTGCTTAAGTATCAGTCAACCGAAAGTTCCTGCATTTATATAGCAATGGTTCCCATTTCAGGGGTGTGGTTTGGCCTAGCCCCATTCAAGTGATGCTCTCGGGACCTGTAGGCACTAGACACTTGGGGCTTTGAGGAAGGAAATCTGGCTGGTTAAGTCACTGACTCAAATGTGTCAAGACTTGGGTCAAGAGGTCAACTCTTCTGGGTTCTGCCCTTAAATTAAAGGGTACTGCAATTTTATTAACTTCCTGTTGACTTAACTCTGAGCAACCCTTTGATAAAGAAGATAATGCAAGTTCTGTTTCTGCATCTTAGATATGTTTATACTAAATGCAACTTTGCTAAAATGTAAAATCAGCTCATTTTCATAAACCTGTACGTTTGTAAGAAGCTGCATTTATCATTGCCTTTGAGAAAATTTATGGTAATTGTTCATGGGACAGTTTAAATCCCAGCCAAGGATTTCATATCAGCACTTGGGTAAGGCAAAAGAAAGAAGACTTCAAGATCAGGCGGCACCTGTGGCTCAAAGGAGTAAGGTAGCAAGTTCAAACCCAGCCCCAGCCAAAAACCGCAAAAAAAAAAAAAAAAAGAAGAAGAAGAAGACTTCAAGATCGTGGCAGCCACATTCAGATTTGGAATGTTGTTAGGTGAGAGTCAGTTAACTTCTGTTGATTACCTCTGTGGAGATACAGAGCAGAAGTGCAGGGAGAACATACTGTGACTCCACTTGGATTTCGCTAAGGTTACTGTTTCATGATGTGTTAAACAGTCACCAAGCATGTCCTCCAGTTTCCTTGAGACAGTGCAGAGCAGGGCAGGAGAGAGATTGCCCACGTGGCCTTTGAGAAGGCAGACACATTGGTGGGTGCCAGGAGGGCAGGGGGAGGCAACCGGATGTATTGCAGTGACACTGCCCAGGGGGAGTTCATCTCAGAGCATGGAACCTTCAGGAATGCATTGCAGAACTACAGAGACAAGTGGTTTGCCTGCTTCCCTGTGTTTTCACCTGTAAGAATGTTGTGCTGTATGTAAGAATGATGGGGGAATCATTTTGTATGGGGACACATTTATTCTGCTGAGGCCTGCACTAGGAGGCCACCCTGTGGTAAGAGGAGGGGAGGGGCTGCATCTTCTGTCAAAGGTAAGTTCTTTCCCACTGCTAGTCAGTCACTGTAGGGAGACGTTTCCGTCCCAGAAATTGGTGCAGAGAAGGTAGGACTTTGGTATCGCCAGCATCTGAGAAATAACTTCCTAGTCTGAGGAGCCTGAATAATTTTCAGTTAATGAATACATTTCATTTAGAACGGGAAATGAGTGGAGTTTATTTGCATTTGTCTTTGTTTTGTTTTTTAATAGTATGTACTTGTGTTTGTTATAAAGAATGTAGAGGAGCACATGAAGGACGGTGAATGACCACTTTCATCCTGTTATCATACAACCAAAATGTTCATGTGTTTATTATTTCATTAATATTTAAAATTACTTTCATTTTACTTGAAACATCATTTTTATAGCATTTTCTGAGGTGACTTTTCATTTTATTTAGATATAAAATAATGCCAATTATAAAAGAAAAAGGTTGAAGAGATTGTTTCTACATTTGGCCTAAAATGGCAAAATACTAACTCTAAAAAGACTGTTAAAGGTTTAATAGGTATATTGCAATCCCTAGATCACATATACATGTGTGTGCACACATCACTTTACCATGTAATCTGTCTCAGAAGGGAAATCACTTTGTGTCCTTTCTTCCCCAGCTGGGTTCTACTGCTGATGAAAAGGCTGTGGGTAGGGAAGGGCAGGGGCTTGGCTTCTATCTTGTCCACTCCTGACCAGAGAGGAGATTCAGGCAGGAGGAGAGGAGGGGATGGCAGGAGAGTTCTCACTTGGCTTTGCTGCTGTGAGCTCTCTGATGCTTTTCGTTTGACAGCTGTTTAAAGCTGGCTATGCAGTGTACTCTGATAGATTTTCTAAGACACTGCCCCTGCCCTCTCAAATCTCTTGGGATCTCTTGTCTCCAGTTTCCTTGATACTCCTTTCTCAGCTCTGGGACACCGAGGCATACCCCCAACTTCTCCCTGTCTAACTGTGCTTTCCCTTTAGTGGTCTTCTGGTAAGTTCCTGAGATAACCCCATGCAGACTCTTTCTTGTATGTAAACTTTGCTAAACAAACCCTCAGAGTTCAGGGCTCCAGTGTGGCAACACCTGCTCTGCTTACGGGCTGTGCACGTAGTCTCTGGGCCCTTAATTTTCCCAGGTGTAAATTGGACATCAACCAACTGCAGGTGACACGTATTGAACCAACGAGTGTCCCTAAAGTTTGTTCCTCTTTATCTGTGGTCACCAGATTGAAGCCCTGATCCCTTCTCCATGCTAAGGCACAGTGAGAGGTGAGCTCACAGCACAGCTCCTAGTGATATCTTCACAAGCCCTTCCTGTAAGTCTCTGGCTCTGCACCTTTCTTATACCCTTGATGTATTTATTATTTCATTAATACTTAAAATTATTTTGATTTTACTTGAAACATCATTTTAAATGATAGAAATGGAGAGAGTTACCACCAGCAAACTAAACTGATACAGATTCTGCCTGGATGGTTCCTGCAGTTTAGGGAGACAAACAATAAGCAATAAAATTATATATAATTAAAAGCTGTGTCAAAGAGATGGATAATGTGGTCAGAGAAGCCATGTGCTGGGGCATGTTCACACTGAGACCCTGCTGTTGGGAGAAGTCAGTTATGTGAAAGGGAGGGTTATGGGATAAAAAAAATTCCCATAGTGGGAGCAGTGTATGTAAAAATCCCAGAGCAGGAAATGAAAACAGGCTTTATGCCTGGAGAACAGTTGGATGAGGGAGAGAGAGAGCGCGAGAGCACAATGGGCCAATGTTGGAAAAAAGACAGATTTGTAGATCAGGGTAAAGAATATAATTTGCAGACTTTTGGATTTCTAACACCAGTAAAATTTCAAAACAGCATATTTGAAACTCACATGGGTAGTCAGCTTTTTAATTGGCCAAGTAAAGACACAAAGAAAAACACACAAATGAAATCCAACTAGTGTCTGCTATTGTGAACTTGAAAAAAAATTACAAGTACAATCCTTTCATTTTAATGTTAAACATGAATACATAATCTTAGATTAAAAGACCTACCTTTAAATAGAATTCATTTAGCTTTATCAAAATCTACCATTTTGCCATTATTTATCTCACTTCACTTTGGGCTAATAAAAGCTTTATTACACACGTTACTAGTCCAATGACGGGCAACTGGGAGCCATAAATTGAGAAGTAAGATGTAATCATGAACCCAGAATTTGAGGTTCCAAATCTCTGAAAGAAGAGAGATGTGGAAAACTATTTTTCATCTAGTCATTCACCAATTCTGATACAGTATATGGCAGAAAAAGCAGTAAGAAGGTAGCTGCTAATATGCTTAGAGGCTGAGCAGACTTATCAGTTATCTCATGATACCAGAGACATAAAAATTGGGGTTCAAAATGCTAGTAAATGCCTCAAGTGATTATTTGGGATCACTGGAGGACTATACCCTAGAAGGAATGAACAAGTTCTAAATAGACCAGTTATTACTAAGACTGAAACCCAGTCTTGAATTAACTCAATCTTAATTTAACTGATAAACTTTGCTGCTATTTCAACTGCCATCAATATGTTTAAAATAGAAAAAAACACTCTGGTGAAAGATGACATCAACCAGAACATATACGAATTTTGATAGGTCATGGCCATGATTCAATAACATATTACCAGCCTAACTTTGATATAAAATCAAGGGAAAAAAACAGACAATAGGAATTGGTACTAATTGTTTAAAAAAAAAAAAAAGAAAACAATAACACAAAACAAAACCTTGTAATAAATATTTTAGAAAACAGAAAATCTGGCAAAATGCAGGATTTCACTAGAATCAAATGGGAATTTTAGAACAGAAACTATAACTAAGATTATGAACTAAATATATGAACTTATAGCAGATTACAAACAGCGTAAGAGTGTATACAATTATAGAATATATCCAGGCTAGATCATAGAGAGAGAAAACACCTAAACTAGAATAAGGGAAAAATGGAACAAGGTAAAAAGGTCTAAAACGTATTTAATTAAAGTTCTTAAAAAAAAGAAAATAGAAGTACTATTCGAAAAAAATAATAACCAAGAATTTTCCAAAATTTATTGCAGCTATCAAGCACCAATTTAAGAAACTCTGCAAACCCCAAACTGAACAAATATGCATAAACATATCAGAGTAAAATCTTAAAAGAAAAGACACATTATCTTCAAAGGAAAAAAATAAAGTTGTCTACCAACTTCCCATTAAAAAATAATGCAATGACAGTTTAACATCTTAAAAAAAAAATTCTTACCTAGAACTCTCTCCCTAGAAAAAAATACCCTTCAAAAGTGCGAGTGAAGTGCTCGCTTCGGCAGCACATATACTAAAATTGGAACGATACAGAGAAGATTAGCATGGCCCCTGCGCAAGGATGACACGCAAATTCGTGAAGCGTTCCATATTTTAAAAAAAAAAAAAAAAAAGTGCGAGTGAAATAAATGTATTTTCAGCTGAATAAAAGCTGAGAGAGTTCTTTCCTCTTTGGTTTATGCTAAATGAAGTGCTAAAGGGAGTTCTTCAAGTAGAAGAAAAATGGTTCCATAAGGAAAATGGAAGTACAGGGAAAAAATCAAGAGCAATGGAGAGTATAAATACAAATAAATATTAACTATTTAAAGCAATAATAGTAATGTTTTGTAGAATTTGGCCAGGTGCAGTGGCTCATGCCTATAATCTTAGCACTTAGGTCAAGATTAGAAGATAGATTGAGGCCAGGAGTTAGAGACCAGTCTAGGCAACTGGTCTAGTGGGACCATGTCT